GGGACTGGCGGAGCCCACCTGCCTCTTTAGGAAAACCCTTCCAAACTGTGGCATTTATGCATCTCTCCTGCGGGTTTATCTCTGTGGCTCCTGGAAGCTGGAGGTATAGCTGTAGCCTGTAGTAGCCTGTAGACTCCCTGGAGCATCCAAGTTGCCCTTCATCTCCTTCACCCTCGTGACCCTTGAGTTCAGTGTCTGGAGGTGAAAATATACTTAGGGTTCCAGGTCGTGCTCGAAAAAGGCAACATTTAAAAGCGGGCTAAGTTTACTTTTAGTGTCCTTTCACCTGCTATATCCCTCAATCCGCAGCAGGTGCCTATTGCCATCTCAGAAATGCACTCCAAGCTGTGGACCTTTCCTACTTTGTTTCTAAACCTGCCCTTGTCACTCTATATCAGATCCTAATGCCCTCTGGTCACATCGCTTTAGGCGATGACTAACTTGATAAACTAATCAGTCTTCCTATGTTGATGGGCTCCTTGTTTTTACTACCCTTCTCAGGTAATGCATATATCTTAACAGAGTTGGGCAGGAAGATATTTGGAGACCAGGGGAACTAACTGGTTTCCCTTAAACTACATCCTGTCAGCCTGGGCCTGAGGCTCACCTCTCGCACACACACTCGCTTCCATCCCTCATTATCCTAGTCCTCTGGAGGCCCTCCCAGCTTCCTAAAAACAAAACAAAACAAGAACAACAACAACAAATCCATCACCTTCCTGCAAGCAGCAAAAAGCATCATCTCCATAAAGCTGGTCAGGAGAGTGTATTTGCTTGGCCACAAAACATCTCCGGTTGCAACACCTACATCAAGAAAATAGACAATGCAAATTGGGGAAAGAGCATGACTTGGAAGTCAGGCCAACCTGGAAATAATGATACCTCGTGACAGGACAAGATCGGTGTGTATGTGCCCAGTGCAAAGCAGGCATTCAGTAAATGTTTTCTCTGCTCTGCATCCATTTCTCACTGTCTTTGCTGTTTTCTGCTGCCTATCTTCTTCTCTCCTTACCACTCTTCCAGAAAGAAGATGGTTCCCAAACTTTTGGGGGGATGTGTTGTCCCTATAATTGTTTCACAACACTACTTTCCTTAGAAGGTGCTGTGTGACATATTTGGGTTTGTTTTAGAACTAAAGTATAATTAAAAGTACTCCTGTTTCAAGAATTTCAGAGCTTTTTGTGATAATCCTGGCAAGACCTCTCTGTATACTGGAAAACAGAATTGAGAACCACAACTTCAAGTGACCTTTTCATTGCCCAAAATCCAGAACTTTTTTTCCCTTCCCTTTCTTTAGGATTTACTGAAAGTCTACAGTGTAGCACTGTATAAGGCACTGAAAAAAACACACAAAAGATTAAGAAACAGCTTCTTCCCCTGGAGGAGTAGACCTAAAGGTATAAGATGGTTAACTACCACAGCAACAATGTTACTTAATCAGGGTGAGCTGAATGGGCAGTAATGCCATATTAGTACAGAGAAGTTCTTGTTAAGAAAGTAGAGCCTGAATAAGATGTTGAAGCATGTGCAGGTGGAAGAGACCAGAAAGGGCATTCCAGGCAAAAGTAAAAACATGAGAAAGGACTTGGAATCTAGGATGAAGAATTGCAAGCTGGTTAGAGTAGGAGATGGGGAAGTGTAACTATATGTAGTTCATGTTTCCTGAGAATTTATGACATGCTAGGTCCTGTTCTAGCACTTTACATGCATTCTCATTTAATCCTCACAATAACCCAATGAGATTGTATTACAGATGAGGAAACTGAGGCAAAGAGAGATTTAAGTCACTTGCTCAAATTACCACAGCCAGGAAGTGGTGGAACTGGAGCAGGAATAACAAGAAATAAGACTGCCTTGATAGATGAGGCCACATCTTAATAAGACTGCCTTGATGGATGGGACTTAAGCTGTTTTTCACTCGTCCTTATTTCCTTCCTTGAGCCACTAGTAAGTCCTAGCTTTCTGACAGTTATTTCTCTCATTTTCATTGGTTCTTCTTCCTTCTGCTTGGATGGCTGGCTTCCCTAATTAAAACTGCCTAGCTACCAGTTAAGAGAATATATACATAGGTACAGGTTTCTGGTAAGAATACATGCAGGCTGGTACAGCAACACAGAACGCGTAAGACTTTCAGGTCTTTTTGGAATAAAAGAGAAGGGAGTTGAATTTTGTTATGGACTGAATGTACGTGTCTCACCAAAAGTCATATGTCGAAGCTCTAATGCCTATGTGACTATATTTGGTGATGGGGCCTCTAAGGAAGTAATTAAGGTAAAATGAAATTATGAAAGTGGGGCCCTGATCTGAGCAGATTCATGTCTCGATAAGAAAAGCTTGCTTTCTCTCTCTTTGCATACACCAAGGAAAAGCCATGCAAGGACAACAGTGAGAAGAAGGTGGCTGTCTGAAGGCATGGAAGAAAGTTCTCACCAAATTGCCCGGAACCTTAATCGTGGGCTTCCTGGCCTCCAAAACTGTGAGAAAATAAATGTTTGATGTCTAAGCCACCCAGTCCATGCTATTTTGTTATGGCAGCTCTAGTGGACTAATATAAACTTCCAGAAATGTTTGAAGTAAGGAGAGGCCAGTACAAAGACAGGGTCTTCACTTAGTGAAAATAATCAACTTTGCTTGAATAATGAGCATTTCTGACCTAGGGCCTTGACATGTTTATTCCTGACTATGCTTTTATGGTCTCTGCTGCATTGAAGGAAGCTTTCTCCTATGGCTGGGAGACCGAAGAAGATGTCTATGGGAAGAAGGCCATGGCTGGTTAGAGTATTTCTCTGTGGGGGATTTTATGTCTCATTAGCACATTCAAACCCTCCTTTCCCTGCTATTGTCTCTGTATGTGACTTGGTTGATGAATAAGAATTAACTTTTCCCTTGAGAGGGGGTTACCTTCAATAAGGTTTTACTGAGTGCCTATGATGTGTCAAATATTGCGCTGCACCATGGGGGCAGAAGAGTAAAGTCAAGCATGGCTCTTACAATCCACCTGGTAAGACAAGCAGAAGTAGTTAGAAGGTGTTGAGTGTGGTGAAAGAGATAAGTGACATTTAAGCTGAGACATGAAAGATGTGTAAAAGTTGTTTAAGCAGAGGGAACAGCATGTGCAAAGGTCTGGAGCTGGGGAGCAAGAGTAAGATAAATTTGAAGAGCACTGACAAGTTCAGTATAGCGAGAGGGAGATGTAATTCACTTTAAGGATTTCTAATTTTGTCGTAAGATGAAAAGCAAATGTAGGATTTGAAGCAGGTGAGGAGAAAAAAAAATCAAACTTGCATTTAAAAAAGGAAATTGGCAATTGGGCAGGCTTTTTTGGTTGTCTTTATCCCTAAATAAGTTGGTCCTCTTCTGAGCATGTTAAGTGTCCCTAGTTCTGATTGGAAATGGGAAATGCCCCCATACCCACACAGAATATGTTATGGGAGCAGATGATGTGAAGTAGTGTATGGAAATTGGAACAGGATAGGAGAGGATATGAACAGAATTAAAGGTTGTCAACCTAAGAAATGCCCAAACCTGTAGAGAATTTATTTTTTGGAGGTGTGGAGTCATTCACTGTAGATGTTTATTTTATAAGAGTTTATTTGAGCCCAACTGAAGACATATGCTGGAAGATCTCAAATCCACTGGAGAATACAGTTTTGCAGCTTCTTTTATGCATTTGAAATTAAGCAGGAACATAAGGAAGATTACATGAAGGTGGGAGAAGCAAGGCTGGATTAGATTACAAGATAGTTAAGATTATGTGCTC